CGGGGCCCCCCCGCGCCCGCAGCGCGTGGCGCTGACCAGCGAGCGCTACGGCGTGCGGCGCCTGCCCTTCTCGCGCGTGTCCCCCGGCGACGTGGCCTTCTTCGAGCGCCTCCTGCCCGGCCGGGTGCTCACGGGCGCCGAGGAGCTCGAGTTCTTCAACGTGGACTGGCTCCGATCGGTCCGCGGTAAGAGCGCTTGGCCCCGCGCGCCGCCCGTGGCGCCGCTGCCCGCAGCCGAGCCAGTCCCAGGCAAAATTCCTCATCCGGAGCGTCCCTTTTTTTCCCTTTCTGTGAGAAACGCCTGGTTTCCCGAAGCTTTCGCGAGGAAACAGGGTGGCCCGGCGGGGCTCTGGAATTGCCGCTCAAACGCCCTGCCAGGGAGCGGGGCCGCCTGCCCCAGGGGCCCTGTGGAGCAGGGGGTGCCCGCGGGTGGGCCCCGCAGGCCCCTTGCGCCCTGCACAGCCCCTGACCCCGCGAGCGCCGCTGCTTCACACGCAGCGTGGGCCTTAAGGGTCCCTCGCTTCCCTTGCAGGCTCCAGCAAGCTGCTGCTGAAGCCGCAGACCGCAGCAGAAGTATCGCAGGTCCTCAGGTAAAACACACTTTTTTTAAAAAAAAATCCTGGCTTTGGGGTGAACAATTACGTATTTTAACTTGTAACCATAGAAATTGTATCACTTTGAGTGGGCCTGCAGGGTGTCGTGACCACGGTTGACGTTGGCTAGTGGATTTATCACCTGTTTAACAGGAGGATGTTGGCTAAGGGAAGCACGGCAGGTGACTGCCGGGTTTTCCTGAGCACCTGCTAAAGCAGCAGTTCCCCAGAAGCTGCCAACGCTTCCCAGCGCAGGAGGGGGCTTGAACCTGTGCCGCGTATCTCCGAGGCGGGATACCCGGCAGGAGCAAAGGCCGGATTGTCACCTCTTTTACCGAAAAGAAAGACGTGAGCGAGAGGAGGAAATGAGAGAGCAATTTTAGCGTTACCTGCTCTRCTAAACTGTCACCGTGATGCACTGTGCCAGTGCTCCATGGGAGTGTTTGTACTGAAGGATTCAGGAATGCCAGAATTGGGCAGTTTGATGGCACTTTGCACTGATAGGGCAAGCRGACAGATGGAGCAGTTAAGGCAGAGATGCACATACTTTGCCACTGTGGGACAGTAAGGTCTCGAAGAGGGGCTGGGGAGGAATCTAATGTCTCAAACCTGCCAGCCCCTATTGAAAAAGTCCATTTGTGCTTCTTTATAAATAAGCACAAATATTGCGTTTTTATAAACAGTAAGCTGTGATTTTTCAGGGRGAAATTGCATGGTAGAGCTGGAAGTGTGCAAGAGTGGTGAAGCTCTTGATAGCTGTTGGAATGATCCAGAGAACTGTAATACTTTGGGAAACCTCTTCCCTTCCAGGTACTGCTACGAGCGGAACTTGGCTGTAAACCCACAGGGGGGTAACACAGGCCTCGTTGGGGGCAGCGTGCCCGTCTTTGACGAGATCATCCTCTCCACAGTTCTCATGAACCAGGTCATCAGCTTCGACGAGGTGTCTGGTAAGTACCATAGATGCTCTRGTTGTGCAGAGAAGGCCCTGGCTGCAACCCAGCCTTCCTTCTGGGAGGCAGCAGCTGCGTCGCAAGCCACATTTGGCCCCAGAGATTTGCTGAATACAGATTTCTGCTATCCATGTAGGTTGCAGAAGCTCTTGCAATCTATCTGGTAGCAAGAGGAAGTAAGAAGAAAAGAAAAATCCCTCTTGTACATTCTGTTCTTTTACAAATCCACATGAGAAGCCAGCAGATGGAGAGACARTGTTGAATGAGGCACATGATAACTTTGTGCTGACAGAGGAAGAGAGGGACGGGGAAAGTTTATAGATTGTTTGGATTTGGAAGGGGAGAAGCTGGGAGTTTTTGAGTACTTTGGTCCTTAAAGCATTGAGAGAGGGAGAAATACAGGCTGAAATATGCTTAGTCAGTGTTTTACATGTCCAGGGCTCTACATAACCAGATATTAAGTCAATGGCCAAGCTCCCGTAGAATTGAGGAAGAGCAGAACAAAGCCCTGCAGCCCTGGAAAGTTCAGGAAGAAGAGCTGCTGGTTGCAAATGCTTGTATTATCCCGATTCTTCAGGAGGCACCTTCTTTTGGAGCTTCAAGTTACACCCTAAGTTTATGTTTCAGGAATCCTCGTGTGCCAAGCTGGCTGCATCTTGGAGAACCTCAGCCAGTACGTGGAGGAGAAGGGCTTCGTTATKCCGCTTGACTTGGGAGCAAAGGGCAGCTGTCACATCGGTGGCAACGTGGCCACCAACGCCGGCGGCTTGCGGCTCTTGAGATACGGCTCTCTCCGAGGGACGGTGCTAGGGCTGGAAGTGGTAAGGCAGGGTGGCCTCACMGGTCCTGTTTGTGTCCCAACATCTCCCTGTTATCCAGTTTGCCTTGTTGTAGCCTTTGGCTCTCTGTTATACAGGCAAGACCCTCCGCAGTGTCCCACTTTTTATTGCTTAGCCCTTCCGAGGTGTGTCAGCAAGTGTCTTCATAAATAGTGTATCTTTTAGTTATACCACAGCTTCCAGCTCTGTCCTTACAAATATAAATGATATTTGGTGCTTTTCTTATTCGGACAAACGAGAAGAAGGTGGCGAGAGTTTCTAATCACAGGTTAACCTGGGCGAGGTTGCTTCCCCTATGGAGCAGSGGATCTCTGAAAAGCTCAGCTAAGCAAAAACCGCCCTATTGTCCTCTCAGTGGCTTCTCMCTCAGAATTTCAGACCTGTCAAGATGCATTTGTTAAATATTCAGCATTTAACAGCTTAGCCTGCATTTTTTTTCTTAGAAATGTGCAAGCTCCAGAGGGGGAATTTAATCCCTTTAACTTATAAGTGGTCTTTAATAATAACACATCTTAGAGATATTCAGCCTTGATTTTTAAGGGCTCAAGGTGGAGGGACTTGCTTCACTCCAGTTAACTATGTTCACTCTTTCAAAAATGCTCTTTGTTTCCTCTGAATGATGGTAGTTCGGGCTTCAGAGAACAGTTGATCTTGCTGGCTAAACTCCATGTCCTCGTTTTCTTGCAGGTGCTGGCTGATGGCTCCGTCCTGGACTGCTTGGCCTCTCTGCGCAAGGACAACACTGGCTATGATTTGAAGCAGCTTTTTATTGGATCTGAGGGCACCTTGGGAGTTATCACTGCTGTCTCCATACTTTGTCCTCAGAAACCCAAGGCTGTGAATCTGGCTTTCCTAGGTGGGCACCTTGGCCATGTGCTGGTACCCAGCAGCAAGTATGTTGGCACTATCAGGAAAACAGGAGCCAATTTGGGGCCTGTAGCAAGAGAAGAGGCCACTGTATGAGCTGCTGTTAATAATTTCATTCCTGAAATTAGAGATTGCCAAGAGAGTAGATCAAGTGATCACCAGGCAAGACCACAATGAGCAGGCAGGGCAGGGAAGTCAAGTCTACAGGTCAGAGTCTGGATCAAGGAGGTACCTGGCAGGGAATGGCTGCAGTGCAACTGCTTAAAAGCTCTCAGAGAAGCCCTGCTGAGGCTTTTTAGTAGAGTGTTTTTTTGTAAGAACTTCCACTGAGACTTCTCCATCTTTTTCCTAATTTCTAGACCTAGTCTAGACCATCACTCCARGCTCCTCTGGGTTGTCTTCTTGCCGATGCTGAGAACTGAGCATGGGACAGACATTTTAGGACAAACTTGGAGATTTTCCCTCAGCAAAAAATAATTGCTGTAAAATCCTGCCGTTCTGCTGTGATACATTCAAAACCGACGGAAGCCAAACCATCACAGGAAATGTTCCTTTAAACCCACATAAGCTAATGATTTCCATCTGTTAGAGAGGAGAAGGGTGATTCCTTAAAAAGCCTAGCAGGCTTTTTTTTAAAAAAAAAAAAAAAAAAAGGTTTTGGGGTGGTGTTTTTGTGTCCCTGAGTCTTCTTTGTGGTCTGTCTCAAGGGTGCCAGAGTTTCACTCAAGTTCTGAACACATTTACAACCTGCAGAGCCATGCTGGGAGAGATCCTGTCTGCATTTGAATTTATGGATGATAAGTGCATGGAATTGGTGGAGCAACACCTAAAACTCTCCAAGCCAGTGACAGGTACCAAAAATCATACCCTCTGTCTGGGTGAAAGGCACAGATAACGTAATTTCTGCTGTAGAAAGAAGCACTGTTTTTCAGGAAGGGTTTTATCCTGGATTTATATAAATGTCATGAGTATAGGTGCATCTCTGCCCGTATTTGTACCCAGTGTTCTGTCCGAAAGGCATTTGACAGAAGTTTTCAGAGAGATGTTTCATGTTTTCTGTACTTCTGCTAGTTCCCACCCACAAGAGGGGGTTGCTCATTTTTAAAGAGCAWTGGTGAGGCCGAGGAGAGAATTTGTATGTGACCTACACAGAAAAAGATTTTGACTCAAGCTCAACACTCTTTTAGCATCAGAAACCTGGACAGTGGAGCCCCCCACCGAATTGTGCCAAGCTTGGGAAAAGCTCTCAAGTCTGTACTAAATTCCTGTGCATTTACCACCGAGCTCTTGTTCATTTTGTTCTGCTTCACTTTCAGGGTGCCCTTTTTATGTTTTAATCGAAACTTCAGGCTCCAATTCCACCCACGATGAGGAAAAACTGAGCAACTTCCTAGAACGAGCTATGACTTCTGGTTTGGTCACTGATGGAACTGTGGCCACAGATGAAAAGAAAATAAAGGCAAGTCACCATTTCACCATACTCAGATCTGTTCGGAATGATACTCTGTTTGGATCTGTAGTTTTAGTTAGGAAGTTGGTATCTGTTTGATATTTGTTGTGAATGCCAGAAGACTGGACTCCCAGGGAATGAAGCAGTTCATTTTAAGCACTCACTTTGTTTGATAGAGGAGGCTTCTTGGGAAACTCAAAACTGGTTTGGAGAGAGCATGTGTCCATGCACAGGACATGAGTTCTTGCTCGGATACTGTCAAGTTCAGAGAGTTGGTGTAGTGCTTCCCTGTTGATGTTGCTCAACAGATGTTATTACAGTCTTTCAAGAGGCAAAGGGATATCAGCATTGATGTTACATGCCAAGAATCGTGCCTGTTTTGCTAGGAAGTACTTGTTTCATTTTATTTCTTTTGTCTTCAATTCCTCAGATGCTCTGGAGCCTGCGGGAGAGGATCACGGAGGCCCTCACTCATGAGGGTTATGTTTACAAATACGACATCTCGCTGCCCGTGGGGAAGCTGTACGACCTGGTCACTGATACCAGAGCTCGCCTGGGCCGGTGTGCCAAAAATGTGGTGGGCTACGGTCATCTGGGTAAGTGCACGTGCTTGGAAAGGAGCTCTGTTCTTCTTCCTTGCAGCCCGGGTCTACTTGCCATACAACTCCCAGCTGCTTTGGAGGTTTTTTGAGATTTCTGAGGGACAGACACTAAACAGCATTTGTTAGCTGAGAACTGTTAGAAGAGGAGAATGCTTTAGGCTCTTCGTGTTCTGGATTTCATTGCTTTCCGGCAGTATTTCATACATGTGAGGCGTGTAAGTACATGGCATAACTACCAGTCAGTCAGTAATTGAAATGGTCATTAGTATCTGTTTGCTTTATATTTCCCAGTCAAGTCTGTAGGTTACTTAATTATCCATAAATTTGATTAATGTACATAGACAGGTTTGATTAAGCACTTTCCTRTCTGAAGTGAGGAGCTGGGTTTGGAATCAATTATGTCTGAACTATTTAATGCCTAAAAGACAGTGATACAAATAATTCAATGAAAGGCTTGCACATTTTGTCAATGTGCTTTGAAGCTAATGTAGTTTYAGGTGCTTTGGGTAAATTGGACAGGTGAATTGATTGTTTAGCAGCACTTCTCTGCTARTAAAACTCTTCAGCTTAATCCTTGTGTGGTTTGTCTCCCAARTGCTCAATAACTTTGTGCTTAATCAAAGACCATTGTGCACAAGCAGCAAAAGGAGGAAGATAAAGCTCTGCTTTGTTTCTGTTGACCCTGTGCTGAAGTGCATGTAGAACATTGCACAAGTATAAAGAACTAATGCAGRGCTCTGTTAAAATTTAATGATCATTATGAAATACTGTTGGGGGATTCTTAGCATGCCATGTCAGTGCAGAAAAAAATAACAGATGCAACGCAGTTATCTGAGTTTAAAATCACAAAAGGAGGAATTTGAAAGTTACTTGAGAGCTTCCTCGAAGGATATACCAAACAAATGCAGAAACAAAGATCCTTTTTGATTTTTATGTGCACACAAGTCCGGTGGTTGTAGGACAGTTTTATGATCCTTCCACACACAGTCTGAAGCCTGTCAAAGGCCCCTTTGTTTGAGGTCATGGCTAAGCCAGTAATGAATCTCTATTGCAGACACAGGTCAGTGAGAGAAACTCTGTGTGTTTTCYTCCAGGAGATGGAAACTTGCACTTGAACATCACAGCGGATTCCTACAGCCATTCCCTGCTGGATGCCATTGAGCCATTTGTGTACGAATGGACTGCAAGATGCAATGGCAGCATCAGTGCGGAGCACGGCTTGGGGTTCAAGAAGAAGTGCTTCATTCATTATAGCAAACCCAAGGAAGCAATCTTGCTAATGCAGCGTTTCAAAGCCATGTTAGACCCCAAAGGGATTCTCAATCCCTATAAGACACTGCCTTCCAGTTCCTGAGGTCGGAGGAGATGCCGTCACATGATGACTGCATCTCTCACTCACTAACCTGCAGCACTTTGGCTACAGTCAAAGCRATCCAAAGAAGGATCAAACAAGGCACATAAAATGCTCCTTGGCTTATTTCCTTAGGGTAAGGAAACAAGTAAAAGAATGTGGTTCATCTTTTCAGGGGTGTCTGCCCTTTCAGAAAATGAGCACATTCGTGTTTTTGCTTATATGGGTTTTCTATTTCATCTGAGCACTCAAACTAAGCATACAGACTTCTTTTGAAGTCTTACCTGCTCAATCTGATAATTAGAGTTGGTTTCTACCTCCATTCAAGTAGTGGAAGAGTTCTCAAAGAGYCCTTACAACTCTCAAGCTCTACTGATCATTGTTTCTTTTCAGTTTCATTGCGACACATATTCTGCATCAAAGAGGGGAAGATGAGAGCAGGTTATAGCATGCTTGTGACCTGATGTGACGTGTTAAGTCATACACTGTGTAGCTATACATTATGTATACATAATGTGGTGTTTAGGCAGAAGAGCCAACGAGAAGCCTCACAGCTTGGAATTGATAGTTTTATTGCACCCTGCAGACGTGGGTATTAGATTTGGGACTGTAGCTGAGTTTGAAAAATAGAAGAGTAAATTCAGGGGACTCTTCCTCCTTTTMTATTCTCACCCTTCCTTTCTGCATATGGCAAAAGAGACTTACTATCAAGCAGTATTTTGGGGGACTTTGGGAGTTTTATGTTGTCCTTTTCAGTTATTACCAGCAGAATTGCAATGGGAAGTCCCTGATCATAAACGTMGAGCTACTTGCTCTCTCCTGCTCCCCGCTGTCTTTGGGAGAGGTAGGTAAGGCAAAATGGGGGCTTATGGCACATGACTGGAGCCAGAGCTGGCTAAGAGCAGCAGTATCCTGGCCACTATGTGCAGTGTTTGAGGCTTCTTTGCAGCATCTGACTTTGCTTGTGCCAAGACAGGCCTCTGAAACAGTGTTAGYGTTTGAGATGCCATGTTGTCTACTGTTGCCCTGTAAGTGCCCTACAGGGTTGTTTWTTCTTATGACTGTGAACATTACATATCAACAAACAAAAAGTTTTACAAATCTGAGTCTGCAGAGATTTGAAGAGGATTTTGCCACTGTTGTTTTGGGAGCAGAGCAGGTCAGGTCTGTCCAGCCTAATGCGTATRCGTCCTTGCAGCAGGATTCTCTGAGATCCCCCACCAGTTTAAATTTTACATATTCATCTTAGGGACAGATCTTCAGAGCTCCTGGATTCTTGTCTTTTCTCTTAAATTGTGATGACAAAAGTTGTATTGCAGCACTATTCCCTTGCTTGGGAATAGGCAAGTGATAGGAATAGAGCTTGATAACATACATCAGTAATGGGCCTTGGGAGATAATTGAGAGAACTCTTAGAGACCTGGCAGGTGCCATTCACATCATTACAGCAACGGGCAGAATCCCAAACCAGCATGAYGTGTGAACTGGCCTGCAGGGGAAGGGCTGCCCAGGCCCTACGTATATATTTGGCCATGGTAACGAATTCCCCTCCTTAACCTAAAGTGGTTAAGCACGCAGATCTTCTCTGTTTCAGGACAAACATGCTTAAACCCAACAGAGAATCAGAAGTGAGGTAGAAACTTATTGCAGCAGGAGTTCTTGATTGTTCAGGTTACTGTGGATACCTTTGAACTCTTAAGCTATGAGACCATGTTTATGCTGCCTTTCAGGAGTCCCTTTCTACAAATAAAGATCTCTTCACATTTTGAAGCCTCATAACGTTGTTTTGTAGAGCTGTAATGAAGGTGAGTTTTGATTGCATGTTTAAAAAAGTAACAATGACACACAAGACTTAAAGCCAGGCTTTCATTTTCAGTGSTCTGTAACAATTGATTTTCATTTGTTATATCTTGACTGTAAGGAATTACATGCTAATCAAACCCAAAACTTCATCCGATGTGACTCTTCTAGTGACTTAGARACCATAAAGCAGAAATCTCATTTTGCTGAAATTCTATGCCCATTTGGGTTTCTTTTCCCTTGGAGATGTGGGTGAAGTCCTGCAATGCTCTGCCTAACATATTCTTCAGGGCCCTATATTGAGAAGCAAAGATCTTGGGCAGGCTACAGTACCTTTTGGCTTCGTTTGCTCTTCTTTTGATCCCAGGGACAGTGTCGCTGTCCCACAATCCAAGTTGATGCTCCCCTCACCCCGTCCAAGGATTTTGCCTGTCTGATAACAAGTAGCAATCTACTCTTTCTGGCTATCCAAGATTTGCTTTCACACAGCGATCTGTCCRCTTTACCTGGGAAGTCTCCAGCTCTCTCAAGAGGTGTTTATGTGTAAATCTGTCACTAGTGAAATGCACACGTGATCTTGGATGAAGGCTGAAACTCAAGTCTCTCCTATCCCAGATGAGAACCCCAATCATCACGGCTTTCCCCTGGACCAGGTTCAGCAGAACTGGGGGAAAGTGTTTCTGTCAGACTCTGCAGTGTGGTTCCTTCTGAGAGGATGAGAGATGGAGTTTGGATCCATCCTCAGCCGAGGAARGGTTTAATAGAACATCTCCTTCTCAAGCAGCATGCTGGTGATTGCCCCCTTGAGAATAGCATTTCCTCTTCCCATTCGCTCCTGAAAGAGAGCAGTCTCCTTTCCTTGTCTCTGGTGGGCTCTGAGGGTGACTAAGTAGATAAGTTCCTTGCAGGGGATGTAAGGGAGGACCCTRAAGAGGTGGAAAGAAGGAATCCAGGTCACTCGAAGGTAAAAGTGGAGGCCATGATGGACTTTAGTTGCCTGTTGGCTGGGAAGCAGCTGAGTTTGCAGCTTTAATCTTCAGCACCTCAGTTCCACTTCTGAGGGCTCCTTGTATCCATGCCCAAGTGACTAGAGATGCTGGATGGTGTGAGGCACCAAGAAAGGAGCTACTGGGATTCTTTTCAGGTCCAGGATTATTCATGCTGAGTTCAAGAGAAATACTCCATCATGTATGGGAGTTTATTGGAGACAAGTGATTCTACCCCTATAATAGATGTTACACAACACCAGACAGTCTGCAAACTACAACTATAACGAGGCTAAAACTCTTAACACAACTGAAAATATATCAAAGTCCTGTGGTCAAGTCACAGATGCGCAATACAATGACTGTTCCTCCCCTTTCCTTGTCCTTACGTGGTCTCACCAAAACGGTGCAGGGACAATTTCCTATTCTCCCTGGCAGTTGGCACCAGGGCCACCCCTGCTGATGGGCAGGTTGTAGGGTCTTCAGGCCAGCTGAGTCCACACAGGAGGTGAGGGGCTTGATTTCTTTTATGCTTTCTGCACGTAGTTCATTATCCAAATCAAACACTGCCAGCCAATGACCACAGTCGACAACAGTGTGCCAAACAAGAGATAATCCAGTGCTCAGTGATAACAATGCACTTATTGACATAGATAGCAGTGTGCCTGTTGCACTGCGGGTCTGAGAAGTCTTGGTTGGTTCAGCAGTCATGGGGTGCATAGGAGAGCGCACCACTAGGCTACAGCAACTSCACAGGGTGTTGCCTCCGCCTGTGGTACCCTCAGGTTCTTTAGAGAAACACCCCAAACGCTTCTTCTACAGGCAGCACCATCCTGCTGAGCAGGTACCTCTAATGGCCAGGCCAGCACAAATCTTACATATGAGTCTCTTAAGGCTCYGGCCAGAGTGCTGAGGGCCMCTTTTTTTCTTTTWTCCCTCTTTTTTTCTTCAGCTAAAGAAACACAGTTTAGACATGTGGTATGTCCTGTTGACGTTCAAGATAATCATGTGGATATTCTGCTTCTATTTCCCCTTGATTGTTGGCTCTGATTTATTGGTAATGCCAATCAGAAGAGGCATTTTCTCACTCAGTGTGTGCCGATGAAACATCAGGGACAGAGGAGAAGAACTTGACCAATACTTAATGAGAAGAGCAGTAGCACTGATGAGACCTCTACCCTGCCACCTGCAGCCACCAGCTCTTCCTCATTTGTTGTGATGCCGAACACGAACACCTTGCCTCTCATACTACTGCAGAAGACAATGAAGCCTCATTTCCTCTTGATTACAGTGAGAGCCACCAGCATTAAAAAACACTTGGAGCAAGCGACAAGAGTGTAGAGGAATGAAGTGCTACTGTATTGACATGCCAGTCCTCTGCTTTCTCCTATTTTCTGAAGGCATATCCAGTCATGARTGGTAGTGCTGTGCATGCTGACAATACGTTTCCAATATTGTGACGGACTTTTTTTGCAAAAATAGCAAAATTGTCATTTAGAAAATAACCATTCTGGGACTTCTGGAGGAGCCTAGAGAGCTAGGAGTCCAGTCATGTATGGATTATGGTCTGGGTGCCTACTATCCTTCACTGTGAAAGACAAAGCAAAGGATGGATAGCCTAGCCCAAGCCAGCTGGCAGGTTGTGYCCTGCTTAGGGATGTCCCCTCCAGGCTGTGGGCATCAGTCCTGTCCAACACCCACGCAGGTACAGGTATGTCGGCTGGGAAAGACCCTTCCCTACAGCACTGCCTTGCAACTCCCTCTCTGCTGTGCATTTGGGAATTCAGGAATGGAAAACCTGCTTGTCTGGTGTTCAGCAGATTCTTTATTTGCAGAACACGAATGAGGAAAAGTGGGTTCACTCCAGCAAGGTTGTGAGAGAGAGGACAAAGAAGCTCATGTTGTAGGAAAGTAATGTATCTGAAGTCACTGCGAAGTCTAATGGAAGGCAGGGGTTGATTTTATTTTCAAAGAAAACTGGTTTTGCTTCTGCTTGTTCTTTCATAGATTTTTTTTCATGCCCTCACACACACATACCCAAAAGCACGTGTCACATGTCATGTGTAGTCACATAGTCTGGCCAAGGTCAACCAAAAGCAATATGTAGGATAAAGGTTATTTGAATAGGTCTTTCATACCCCTTAAGGTTAATTATTGGCACAATCCTTTTACATAACATCTTGTTTTCTTCTTGCTCCCTGATTCTTGGCACTATCTTAGTTTTCTCTGTCAAAGTATCTATTCTTTTTTGGCTACTATTAACTCCYTTTTGAGATTATGAGAAAGCAGGCTTGCACAGTTAGGTGTAGCCTTATTGCTTCCTGCTCTTATCAGTATGCCCATCTTCYGTTAATGAATCATCCTTGCTGTGGTCCTATAAAACCTCAGGTCTTCAGGTCATGATGTAAACCATTCATTCTTCAATGTTTACCAGTGCTATTACTGTCAGTCAAATCCCTGGTTACCAAATCAGGCCATTGTTTAACCCAGACCCTATTGTTTCACCTAGTACTTTCACATACACACACACACACACACACACATTTCCATTCAGACCTCACTCCATCTTGACTAAGTCACTTTGACATGCAGTCGCCAAAGCTTTAGGTTTGTGTTATGAAACTCTGCGGCCCAGAAGCAATCTATGTGGGGCCTTGCTCATTAGCCTCGTCTCCAAATGGCAGAAACATGAAGCCAAATCCTCCTTTCATTGCCGAGGAGCCCCCAGGAGAGCCATCCTCCTGAAGCCATGCCCTCCTGCTCAGTCCAGCCACCTTCTGAGCTCATCTCACCCACCAATTGCCTCAACCATATCTCTCTCCCCTGGTAGCAGCTTCTCCCTACCAGCTTCTACTCAGTTATTTCTCCTGGGCCTGCCTTTCGATTTTTCCTCCTCAGGTCCCTGCCTTTTCCTTTCTGATAGGGGTTCCTTAGCCTTCTTAACCTTCCTTTCTCCTCTCATGCCACCAGGCGCCATCTTTGTGTCTTCCTATAACTGAGGGCTAAATTGGACTGTGCTGCTCTTCAGAGTAACCCTCAAGATGGATCTCGAAGCAGGGGTTTTATGGCACAGCGAGGAAGCACTTGAAATCCCTCTCTCCAGGTAGGCCTGGGCATTGGGGCCATCCCACCCCAGCTAACTGGGCCAGCTCTTCCCCACATCTAGCCTTGAAGGAAGCAAGCTCAGAAGGGAGCCGAGTAGGCCTGCACAGCGCCGCATTTTTCTGGATAGCCAGACCTGAATGGGTACGTCAGCTCTTACCCAACACCCTGGGGAAGAGCAATGAATCAACTTAAAAATGTAAAACATGTCTTTTTTTTTTTTTTTTTTTTTTTTTAATGTTCACTGACTCTGCCAGCTTCGGAACAAAGAAATAGCATGGCTGACGTGTATAACTTATCAGGAGCAACAACTCTATTAAACATGATACCCTTCCACTAGACTGGGAGCAACCCTGGAAATTCTTCTTAAAGCAACGCTTTGGGTCACCTTGTACGAAGAGGTTTAGGGAAAGCAGCMTTGCGCCTTGCTAAATGCCAGACCTTATCAAGCTCTGAAGCTGGGGCAAGGAAATTGTTGGTAGAAAATGAGGGAAATGTGGTATACCTGGGCACTCTTAATGACGTAGGGCAAGGCTACCTGAATGCCCAGGACTACATTGGTGAAGCTGGTTGGCACGCTACCAGCGTACAAGGACTTGTGAGGTTGCGGCAGAAGTGAAGGAAAGGGACCATATCTGACAGGGCTGCGTGACAGCAGGATAGGCATAAATGACCAAAAGTATCTGTTTAATGTCATATGCCAGCCTGTGAGACATGAGTAAGCTTTTTATTACCTCAATGTCTTGCAGAGATCCCTCCGTGCCAGGAGAAGCAGTAGGTGAGCAGAAGAACTGCAATAGCAGGAGGCATCACAAGACTCGTTCTTGGCAGCATGTGTC